GTTCTGCGCAGGCCACGGGGGCTCCTCCCAGGCCCTGTTCCCTGAGCTTCTGTCCTAAAGGGGTGACCACCCGGGCTGGATGTGGGTGTCTCAGGCCAACGCAGGGCAGAGGGCTGGAGTCTGCCCACTCGCATCTCCCTCTGAGCCCGTCCACGGGGTGCCCATGGGGCTGGTGCCCTCTCGGCTGTGGACGGTTAGAGATGGGAAGGGTGCTTCGCTCTGGGCCTCTGCAAAGAGGCCACTTGGTAGCCCCGGGCCAGGCTCCCCACAGGAGTTTTCACTTATCATGTTTAACTGACTTAGCAGCCCCAGGTGGTGGCTGGAAATCCAGGGACCCGCCCTTCATGGGGGATGACTTGATAATCACATGAAGGGGCAGAGAAACCTTTTTTCTTCTTGTGGGTGAGAGTGCAGACCAGTGGTTCTCAACCTTCCTAATGCCGCGACCCTTTAATACAGTTCCTCATATTATGGTGACCCCCAATTTCATTGTGACAAATTGATCATAATTAAAGCATAGTGATTAATCACAAAAACAAGATGTAATTATATATGTGTTTTCCGATGGTCTTAGGCGACCCCTGTGAAAGGGTCATTCGACCCCTAAAGGCGTTGTGACCCACAGGTTGAGAACCGCTGGTGTAGACAGAGCCCTTGGAGCACGGCAGCCATTATACGGGTTCACTCCTTAGCACGCTCGGTGTGGCCACCAAATATCGGGTGGGGCCCTGCCTGGAGAGACCAGCTTGGCTCCCGGCCCCTAGGGCCTGGGCCAGTGGTCAGCAAACTCATTAGTCAACAGAGCCAAATATCAACAGGACAACGATTGAAATTTCTTTTGAGAGCCACATTTTTTAAACTTCAACTATATAGGTAGGTCCATTGTTATTAACTTAATTAGGGTGCTCCTAAGGCTTAGGAAGAGCCACACTCAAGGGGCCAAAGAGCCGCATGTGGCTCTCGAGCCGCAGTTTGCCGGCCAGGGGCCTAGGCGTGTGCACCTCAGGGAGGGCCAGGTGCGCTGCCACGCTGCCCTTCGGCCTGCTGATCACCGGGAATTGAGATTACGGGGCAATCAGGGATGTGCGACCCAGCGACACTGTCTGCCTGTACCGTTTCCACGTGCCACTCTACCTCAGTGCTCATGCGTCTCGGCTGTGAGGCTCCCAGTCGTTGCCACATTGGGTTCCGTGGAACTGCTGTCCTTGCCACGGGTGAGCAGCGGCCTGTGGGAGCTGCTTTCCCAGTGCCCGGCGCCTGGTTTCACGTTCTGTAAAGGAGTTTGCTGGAGAGCAGCACCGTGCTTGCGGCGAAGAAGGGAAAGGTGTATTGTGGACTCCGCGTGGGTGGCCCTTCGGCCCCTGGGTGTCCCCCGGAAGGAGGGGCCACGCTGGAACTGCCAGGGGAGGTCAGTGCTCAGCCAGGACGTTGGGTTCCAGGAATGAAATGATGCTCCTCCTAGGACTTGACCTTGGAGTGGCAGGTGGTGTGACCGCCTTCTCAGATGCTCGCTCCATGGGCCTCCGTGGCAGCGGCGTCCCCGAGGTCTCCCAGACCCACGGCACTGAGACGCCCGCTCCCCACGCCGGAGGTTACCCGGCCTGTCTTGGTGAGAACGGGTTCCTCCTTCCCTGCTCCCCTTTATTTATGTGACCCCTGTTTGTCTTGTTTTGTATCTTTTTTAACTGTAAATTGAATTGTGAAATATTGTACAAATAAATTATACTCTTTTTCCAAATACGTTTTGAGTCTTGGGCATCCTAGTCCCCCTCGGCTGAGGGTTTCCTGCCACGTTCACAAAAGCGCTGCTAGTTCTGAGTCGGGGTTACCCCAGGTTTTAGGGAGTAGGCCGCTTCACAACAAGGGGTCGGGTCTGATGACGGAGTCTACGCCCAGAAGTGTGCACGTGGGCAGTGCCAACCTTTTCCGATACAGTTTTCATTTTGGATTCACTTTGTGAACGGTTTTCCTATGGGATGAGGCTGACTCCACTTCAAGATGTAGCCAGAGTGCTGAGACTAGGGACTTAACACACAAGCTTGTATTCATACTTTTATAAAGAGAAGGTAGGCCCTAGGCAGTTTGCTCAGTGGTCAGAGCATCGGTCCCAGGTTTGATTCCGGTCAAGGGCATGTACCTCAGTTACAAGCTTGACCCCTGGCCCTGGTCGGGATGCATGTGGAAGGCAACCAATCAATGTGTCTCTCTCACAGCAATGTTTCTCTCTCTGTCTCTCCCTTTCTCTTCCACTCTCTCTTAAAAAAAAACCCAAAAAACAAACAAAAAACCAGCCCTAACCGGTTTGGCTCAGTGGACAGAGCGTCGGCTTGTGGACTGAAGGGTCCCAGGTTTGATTCCAGTCAAGGGCATGTACTTGGGTTGCAGGCACATTCCCAGTAGGGGGTGTGCAGGAGGCAGCTCTCATCGATGTTTCTAACTCTATCCCTCTCCCTTCCTCTCTGTAAAAAATCAATAAAATATATTTTTAAAAACCAACGGGGAAAAATAGGAAAACAAAGAAGTTAATTTGCTTAATATAAAATGACCCAACATACTCATGAAAACATAAGTATTAATGACAGTGAATAATTCGTGCTGATCATTTTGTTGCTTCCATGCAGCTGGGTCAGCAGGTGAGTTCCCTGCGTGGGTTCCCCTCCCGCTGCGTGGTCACAGGGCCAGCCCCGCTTTACGCTCGGGTCTGGTCGGATCCCAGCTCTCTCTGTTTCATGGTCCCCTGGTCCTGCCCGTTTCCCAGCCTTTGCCCCTCGGCCCAAGGCTGCGTCAGGAGCCCGACTTCGTAAACAGCCACAGATCCCAGCCCCGCGGCCTCGGCTGGTTTGGATGCAGAACAGGGGATGCGAGCCCTGAGCGCCCTCTCCCAGGCTCCCAGGGTGTGAAGGAGAGGCTGGAATTAATGCTGCTTCTAAAGGGACATTTACGACACTCACCCACCTGCCAGCGATCTCACTGTAAACATGTAGGCTCCATAACTAGTGGAGCTCGGGCCGTCGCTTTGCTGGGGCCGAGGAGCCTGATCTTATCCTTTTCCCTGGAAGGAAAAGTGAGGTGGGATCTGACCACTGGAGGCCAAGCCTTCCCCTGGCTTCCCTTTGCTGCTCCCGCTGCTGCTGGTGGGGTACTTGCCGCTCTGATTGGGTCCTCGGTTCCCACACGCACATGGACCCTGGGGGACTTGCCAGCCTGCCGGGTGCTTCTGGCTTGGTCTTGCCTGGGGAAGGTAGTGATAAAGGCAGGGGCCCCGCATGGCATCTTAGAGGACAACCACACACCCAGGACGTCCTCTGGACAAGTGCCCGTGTCTCCCCCACTGCCCTCCCTCCCAAGCATCATTGAGCACCTGCAGCGGGCCAGACCGTGCAGCTCCAGGCTTTTGGTCAGTTCCATTCTCTCCAGCCCAACTCAGCCCCATCCCATGGGACAACCGAGCCCCGACGTGCCTGGAGTGAGGGCCCATGAGTGGGCACCATTGATATTTGAGCACATTGTGCACAGCTGATGGGCCTCCAGGCCGGTGCTACCGCATGGGCAGCGGAATCTGGGGGTGTCCCTCAGGGGTGTGGGGCAGGGCTGGGGGAATTCTGGGTGGTTCAGCCCCTTGCCTGAGCCCTACTGCTTTCTGAAGGAAGCCCCCACATGGACTCCAGCTCCTTCTTCCTGTGTCCTGACCACCCGGGAGGGACAGTGCACTCCTCCCCTGCTGAGATCCCTGGACACCTGCTCTTTTTGGCCAAAAGGAAAGAGACTGTGAGTCCTCATCTGATTTACCCTCCTCCCCCTCCTCCCCCATCCCGCTGGGTAGACTCCCCATCCGGAGCACAGACTATAGCGTTCTTCCTCCGCCCTCTCTGGGACTGTCAGAGAAAGTATTACGGCAAAGAACCCTGGGCAACACTGCCACCTGTGCCCCTGGTCCCCAGGTGTCTGCTCAGTGGCAAGAACACCTGGGACTGGAGCAGTTACTTGGGCCGGCCACAAGGAGGCGCCAGCTCCGCAGCTCCGAGGTGAGAAGCTGGCCCAGTCTCCTAAAGGGACAGGGGCCTAGACCTGGACTGGGAATGTGTGCCCTGCCCGCTTACCCTCATTCTTACAAGTCTGTGCGTGCTGGTAAAGTGGTCTCTAAAACGAGTCACACTGGCTCCTGGGAGCGCTCCATCCTGCATCAGCCTGCAGGTGTTTGGCCCTGAGCGAGGCACGAAGGTGCTGCCCCATCGTCTTGGCATTCCCTCTTGTACATAAATTCCCAAATTGTCCCCAAGCATTGAGGAGCTTGGAGTGGCAGGAATGACGGGAGGGGACAGCGTAACTAGCCCTCTCTCCGGCCCTGACCAGCGGTTGCCCAGCTTGGCCGGAAGCCCCTCCTTTGTGGACACGTTGGCAGAAAGTGCTCCTGCGCTCAGGCTGGTTGTGCGGAGTGGGTCTCCCTGAAGGGCGTTCGCTCGCGAGTCAGTCTCTGGCAGCTGGCTCTCACCTCGTCGCTCTGCCTGTCCCCAGCCTTCCCTCCTCCGGGCCTGTGAGGCTTCAGCTCCCTTCAGAGGACATGGTGCGGTCATTGTGGAACCTGCCCTGAGCTGCCGTGGCGGGGTGTCTGCGAGCGTCCACCCCTGGCGAGACCAGACAGCAGGACGGCGGTGCCCCTCCAGGCGATGCGTGGTCAGCAGTCCTGCCTCTGCTCCCCCGACCATGGCCAGCCAGCCCCTCTGCCTGCTGGGCCACCTCTCCCAACTAGGCCTTCATCTTCAACTCCAAGCAGGTGCCCAGGGATTGAACAGTCGGACAACTGACCAGGGCACATGATAAACAACTAAGGCTGCTAGCTCTCCCCCGTTTCACTTCCCCGCCATTTCCCCTCAGCCTCTTATAACCAGAACACGTGCTTTTACTCAACTTCCTCATTCCTACACCTGGCCCCGCTCCCCGGGTCCCTGCCTGCTGTCATTTCCAGCCTCTCCCCCCAAATGAAAAGGCTGCCAGCGAAGCGTCTGTTAGAAAAGAGTTTATTACAAACAGATGAGGTATGACTTCTACAGCATTCATGCAGAGGGCACTCAGGGTACTAAAACATCGGGCCCATGAATGGTCGTGAGAGAAACCGGGGAACAGCCCTGCTATGGTGCTCAGGGGCGTGGGTCCCTGAGGAAGATGGGGAAGAGCCGGGGAAGCAGGGACAACATGATGGGAAGATCAGTTTCCAGTTCCTCACCAGGAAGACGGTGCCAGCCGCCTGACCTAAACCACATCCTGCATGGGGGGTGGGGGGTGGGGAGGGTGTCTCAAGTCTCACACTGGAAACCACATCTGGAAAGCACATCCTCACCACAGCTTCCTCCTGGTCCCTCCCCTCTACGGGGATGAGCAGGGGTGACTAACAAGGAGGACCCCGGGAGGTGGGGCGCAGGGGAGACAGCCCCTAGCCCGGGAACTGGGCCAGCCGGCGCCGGGCCTTGGTCAGCCGCGCCAGCCGCTCCTTCAGGAACTTCCTCTTGTCGCTGGTGTCGCTGTGCTCCTTGAGGAGCCAGTCGTACTTCTCCTTGTCCTGCAGCAGCTGGAGCATGGCCTTCTGCAGCTGCTGCCCGTACGATTGGAGGATGAAGAACTGGATGACCAGAGGGATGTGGCTGGACAGGCGGTTGCAGGCCTCCTGCAAGGGACGGTTCACAGAGGGCTTGAGGGGACCCTGAAGGAAGGTCCCCCCTCGTGACTTTCGCCACGTGAGCTCCCGGCGGGACCGGACCCAGCAGGTCTCAAACCTCGGTGCCAGGGGCAGCGAGGGACCCCACATGTCCCTGCGGCGCAGAGGGCGCGGCTGGGGGCTGGGGTCAGGGCCAGCTGGGCTCCCGCTGGCTTGTCCTGACGATGAAAGGGTCACTTCTGACGGGAGACGGTCAGAGGTGCCCCAGGAAGGGAAATGGGGACACGTTCGCACTATTTACAATTCTGCCCCGAAGATTTTATGCTGTTTTTGTTTTTAAGTCAACACTAAGATGTGTAGCAGAACAGAGGCTGGGCTATCCAAAGCCACAGAGGGCCCAGGGAGTTCCAGGCAGATTGTCCCGCCTGTGAGGGAAGAGTTTCTCTTTCTCGAGACAGACCATCTCTCCGGCAGCTCAGAGAGACTCGCACTGAGCAAGGGCTGTGACCTCTCGGCGCCTCGGTTCCTTCTCTATAAAATACCAGCACCGGCTCACGGGATGGTTAGAAGGTGACAGTTTGGAAAGATGCCAGGCGTGGAATGAGTCTAGAGCAGCGGTTCTCAACCTGGGGGTCGCGACCCCCTTGGGAGTTGAACGACCCTTTCACAGGGGTCGCCTAAGACCATCCTGCATATCACATATTTACATGACGAGTCATAACAGTAGCAACATGACAGTGATGAAGTAGCAACGAAAATAATTTTATGGTTGGGGGTCACCACAACATGAGGAACTGTATTTAAAGGGTCAGAAGGTTGAGAACCACTGGTCTGGAGTGTCAGTGACGTGGAGATGGCACACAGGCTACGTGTTCTAAGGGGGCGTGAGCCAGGAGGGCGGCCTGTCCCCAGACAGAGACGGAGGACAGAAGAGAAGGGACAGGCTGGCAGGAGGCATGCAGGCGGGATGCTGGGGGCCCCGGCACTGAGGTCTGATGCTGGAGAACGTGCAGGAGCTGAGGGACGGCTAATATCTGGAGCGACACAATCAGGCACCTGAAGCAGCTTCCTGCAGGTAACACTGAGCGATCTAAAGCAAGCGCTAGGCCTGCCCCCGGTCTGATGGTCACGCTCATGTGTCAGCTGGGCCAGACAACAGTCCCAGGTTTTCGGTCAAACACGAATCGAGGTGTCCTGCAGATGTGGCTAGCATCTAGAATCATCTGGCTTTAATGAAGGAGGTTGTCTCATCATGTGGGTGGGCCTGTCCAACCAGCTGAAGGCCTTATGAGAAAGAAATCCTGCCTGTACACAGCAGTTTCGACTCCTGACCAGGAACCTCCCACCCACCTCGCCTGATGGCCTTCCTACAAACACTGGACTTGCCCCGCCAGCCCCCACAACCCATCAGCCAGCTCCTAGAAACACATTTCTTTTCCTTTTTAAATTTTTTGTTAATCCTCACCCGAGGATACTTTTCCATTGATTTTTAAAGAGAATGGAAGAGAGAGGGAAAGACAGAGAAAAACATTGATTTGAGAGAAACACATTGATTGGTTGCCTCCTGCAGGAGCTCTGACCAGGGCCTGGACTGGGGAGGAGCCTGCAACCAAGGTACATGCCCTTGACTGGAATTGAACCCGGACCCTTTGGTCCACAGGCTGATGCTCTCTCAACTGAGCCAAACCGGCCAGGGCTAGAAACACATTTCTTTACCTACATCTATCCTATTGGTTCTGTTTCCCTGGTACAACCCTGACTGATACACCAGAAGTCTCATTTATCCTCCAGATATATGATACATGAATAATTCCAAGCACTGCAACATCCCTGTGTTAGCAAAAGACTGGAAACACACTACGCCTACAGCAGGACACGTCCATAAAATGAGACTCCGCTGCCATGACAAAGAATAGGGCAGCACCCGTGAGCGGGAATGGAACAATCTCCAAGGTGCAGTAAAGGAAGCAAGATGCCAAGCAGCACACACGGCTAACCTTGGTGCAAAAACAATTTGCATGTATACATACATGGCGCGCACACGCACACACACAAACACACACGTGTATGCTGTCCCTTGGAGGACATCGAGAGCCTGGAGGGGATGGCATGGCTCCAGGTGGGGTGGGCGGGAGACCCACTCTCTACTGTCACTCGCTCTGTTTTGGATTTTGTGCGTGTGCGCATGGCCTGCTCTAACAGGTTCTGTGAGGCAAGTGAGCAGACACAGGGTAAGTTTCGCTGCAGGAGAGGCCAAGGTGCACAGGCGTCCTTCTGTCTTGCCCTTCACTGGCTTCGCTCACAGGTGTGCACCTCCCAGTGTTAGGACACGGAGGTTAGAGCCCTGCGGCTGGGGGCGCGGCGCTCCCACGGGAGCATTAGAAATGCGGCAGCTGGGCCCAGCTCAGACCTGCGATCCGCCCCTGCATGTCAACAAGACCCCGGAGGTCAAGTGTGAGAAGCACGGCTTCATGCACAGGACGGTGAAGGATGGAGGCACCCGGGAAAGCGAGGGGTGATTATGTGCCCTACGTGTCCGGGTTTCTCATGTCCCAGCGGCTCTAACTAAGGCGGCTCAGCTGCTTGTGCAGCCTGCCCAGGATGCATCGGATGCCCCTTCGTGTCATGAAACACAGAGAAGCAATCAAAGCTCGCGTCTCCAGGAGCAAGGAGCAACTTCTGTGTGCGCGGCCGCCATTGCATCCCACGGCGGCGCTAAGGGAGTTGCACCCACTCATCCCCCGGAAGAGTCACTGGAAACCTATGAGGAGGTGCCATTTTACAGAGAAGAAAGCTGAGGCTCAGAGGGGTTAAGGAACTTGACCAGGGCCACACAGCCAGTCAACACCGGGTGTGAGTGGCTCTAAGTCACAGCCTCTTCTCATCATCAGAGGCCGAGCTGCTTCTATGGAGGCGAACAAAGGGCAGAAGGATGGAGCTGGCTGGTGGGCAGCTCACGAGACACTAAGTCTGGAAATGAGACAGAAAGCGTCTTTTGGAGACACGCGCACTCACCAGGCGGTAGGCCATCAGGTGTTGGAGGATTTCAATGAGGGAGCAAGTCAAAGGATCCTCCAGAGAGGGCGTCTGCTCGCGAGAACTCCCCTTCTTCTCTTCTTTAGATTCCTTCTCTCGGATCTTCTGCAGCGCAGCCCGGTACGCTTGGTCCTGGCAGTAGACAATCTGCTCCATTTGGAAGTGCAGTCGGATGGACTTCTCCGCTTCCTTTTCTTGTTCTGACTTAATGTCTTCAATTTTGGACTAATGCGCAAGAGAAACACAACACCATTTCCCTCCAGAAATCAACCCCTGGGTCAGAGGAAACTGGGTTAGACACAAAGCCCCCAGCTAGCAGGCTCTCCAACTGGAATTAAAACAGCACGCTGCTTCGGGGCAGCCTTCTGCGCCCCGTCTTGGCTTATCTAAGATGGGGTTCCCACCCTCCACAGAGTCTCAGAATTCCTGAAGAGCCTGAACCGCACACGTGACCAGACCCCTCGTCCCCAGAGCCTGAGGACTCAGCCTCTTTGGTTTCTCTTTTCCTGGCCTTTGAAGTGGTGAGTGTAAACCCATCAGAGAGCTCCCAGGATAAGAGGGATGAATTGAAGTCAGTCAAATAGTCAAATTCATTCTCTCTCTCTCTCTCTCTCTCTCTGGTTTGTTCCTGGGACTTAGAGAAACTGGCTATCTGGGAGCCTGGGCATCCTCACACAGAAAGCACCTGGACCCCCACCGCACTGAGCGCCAGGAAGTGGGACGCGCCCTGCCAGTGCGGCCTCAGTTTCCTCCTGTGTTCGCACAACCTTCTGCGGTGAGGACGCTGCTCTCAGCCATGCGCGCTGGAGGAGCTGCAGGCCAGGCAGGCTACGCGGCCGCGGAGCCCTCCAGCTCCTGCACAGCAGAGCCGGCCTCCCCGTCTGTGCTGGGTGCTTGGGACTGAATGAATGTCTGTGTCCCCCAGATTCATATGTTGACATTCTAACTCCAATGTGCTGGTTCTGGAGGGAGGGCCTTCGGGGAAGTCTAGGTCAGGAGAGTGGAGTCCTCAGAAAGGGACTGATAGTGCCTTTAATGGGATTAGTGCCTTTAATGGGATTAGTGCCTTTGGGGAAAAGAGACACCAGAGGTCCCTCCCCTCTCTGTCTATCTCTGTCTCTTTCTTTCTCTCCCTTTTATTGCTTTTAATGAGAATTCACTGGTCATATAATAGATTCACTAATAAACTGCATAATTTGATTCTCCAAATATACAGTAAAGTTGCAACGGTCTTAAATCCAGGAAATCTATTTTCTAGCATGAGGGTTAATTATTTTCTTTTTAAACAAATCGTTGGTTTTACCTTGCAGGTTCTGAAAAGGTTGAAAAACTCCTCATAATTTTTCTTGGAAACATCTGCGAAGGCAAGCCGGACCATATCTGATGAAAGAAAAACAAAAAAAGCCCAGTATTAGTAGGATCATTCATCATCTTAATAGATTGCAAAAAATAAGAGGATAAGATGACAAGAACAAAAGTGTCCTCCGTCCTTCCCTCCTCCCCCATCTCCCTCTCTTCTTTGCATTAAAGGAAGAAGGCGTGCTTTTTGGCTTAAGAGCTCTCTAAAAGAATTTTAAATATATTTTTTTGTTGATTTCAGAAAGGAAGAGAGAGAAACATCAATGATGAGAGAGAATCATTGATTGGCTGCCTCCTGCTGCCTCCTGCATGCATGTGCCCTAAGGGTCAGTCCAGGACCCCTTGCTCCTTACTGCCCACCAGCCACAGATGTAGGAGAGGCTCCTGCCACTGCTGCTGTGCTCACTAGCCATGAACCAGCTTCTGGGGGAGAGGGGGGGGAGGTGCCGCTCAACCAGAAACTGGCTTGCTGCTACATAGCGCTGGCCCCACCCCCTGCCCATTGGGTGTTCAGGAAAGTCGTTCTTTGGTTCATTGGTCAATACTCAACCACTGAGCCACAGGCTGGGTCCTAGATTTATAAACCTAATGTCCCCAGCATACTTATTTAACATTTAAAGTTTTCATCCTAAGTTTAAATAGTTGCAAAGAATATGATTTCTAGTAAGATATATATATCAACATTTAATAGTCAAACCTCACATCATTCTTTTAAATACATCAATGAGATCTAAACATCCACATTATCTATTTGAAAAGAAATACACAAATAAGCTTAGTTAATCAGAAAATGTACATTATTTTCATTTCTGGAACCTGTATTTCCATTTGACTTCCTCACAGAATTTATCCTAACAGTATCTTTATGCTTGAAAATCTTTTACTGACTCCACACTTTATCTTTCTAAAACAGAAGTTTATATATACACTAGAGAACCAATGCACGAAAATTCGTGCAAGAGTATGCCTCCCTTCCCCCAGCTGCCAGCACCAGCTTCTCTCTGGCACTCGGGACCCCGGCTGGCTTCGCCCCGGCTCCCAGCATCCTCAGGAAGGATGTCTGGAATAATGTCCGGAAGACGTCTGGTCTAATTAGCATATCACCCTTTTATTAGTATAGACTAGAGGCTCGGTGCTTGCAAGGGGGGGCAGGGGAGTCCCCTCAGCCATTCTGCACCCTCTCTAATCCGGGACTCCTCAGGGGATGTCCAACTGCCAGTTTAGGCCCGATCCCTGTGGAATAGGTGCTGGCTTCTAACCACTCGCCTACCTGCCTGCCTAATTGCCCCTAACCCATCTGCCTGCTGGCCTGATTGCCCCCTACTGCCCCCTGCCAGCCTGGCTGCCCCATAACTGCTCCCATGCTGGCCTGGTTGCCCCGTAACTGTCTGGAAGGAAGTCGGACGAAGGAAGAGCTCTGAATTATTTTACAAAAATAACACAGCGCCATCCTGGACTCTCTGAAAGCACAGAGTGGCACGGAAAAAAAATCACATCTGATTTGCAAATCAAAACACAATCAGGGGTTGCAATAGCGAAAGAGGCCTTAATGTACTTTCCCTTGGTCATCTTGAGAGGGCAAGGATAGAGGCAGGGCACGAAGCCAGCGAGCGGTGACTGCAGACCTATTCTTTAAAAGGTACCTGAGTATGAAAGTTTGTCCATCAATTGGGTTTTTCCAAAGCAATTGCATCCTAATAGAACATTATGACTTGCAGGTCCTTAAGAAAGTGGGATTGGCCGTGAACACCACCTGGAATTCCCTAGGCATCCCTTCTTCATGTGCTGTCGCATGAGTAGGAGGACTGTGCAGATCAAGTGGGGTCATACAATACCGGCACATAAGATCATATTAGTGTGGTATGTTTACTATTTAGCATATTACTCTTTTATTAGTATAGATACTTCTATGACTATAAGTCTCTAAACACAACATATTTTCTTCAGGAGTGAATTAGAAGGGCACAACTGGTCAACACAAGAACAGATTTTGACATGTAATTATTAAGCCTCAAGTAAAATTTTATTAGAAATATACCCCTTAATGAGACAGTGGAGTAGCCACAGCAGTGGGCGGAGTGGAGGTGTTGGTTCATAAGAAACGTGCATTTGGTCTTTGCCCCTGGTTCCTGACACACAGCTCTCCCATTCTTTAGGCCTTCCTGGGGGTAGGAGCATCTTCTGTCCTAATGAGGGGACTCTGGGTGACGCTGGGTAGCCCAGGATCGAGGCTGGTTGCCAGGAAGCCCAAGGCTTGATTGGAAACCTGGAACTTTCAGCCCAACCTCCCCCAAATTTCCAGCATCAGGGGAGTAGGGCAGGGAAGAGGGATGGAGACTGAGTTAATAATTGTGTATGCTTACATGTGTGATAACTGATTATACCTCCATAGAAACTCCTAAATGACAGGGTTCGAAGAGCTTCTAGGTTAGTGACCAAATACCTGCCAAGAGAGCAGTGGCTCCCAACTCTGTGGGACCTGCTCTTGGGGTACCCCCACACCTGGCCCTATGTATCACTTTCATTTGCTTCCTTTGTAATAATCAGTCCTTTATGCTACATCAGTAAAGGTAAGCGTGTTCCTGAGTTCTGTGAGCTGTTCCAGCCAATTACCTAGCCCAGTGGTCGCAAACTCATTAGTCAACAGAGCCAAATATCAACAGTACAACTGAAATTTCTTTTGAGAGCCAAATTTTTTAAACTTGAACTATATAAGTAGGCACATTGTTATTAACTTAATTAGGGTACTCCTAAGCTGGCCTTTGCTAAA